CGAATTACTGTACTTGCCGAGCGGCGTCAGTAATCCTACTAAAATGGACCGAAAGAACCACAAACTTCATATTCATTTTGGGATAATTTAGCCCATTTACAAGCGCTGTGATTCAACCGTTTGTGTATAAGACATAAAGAATATAGGTCTAACACATACGTACTTTCACTCATACAAGCATAGCCCGTTCTTTGTATAATATTGTAAGGATCAACTGGTAAAACAATTGGTTCAATCCACTGACCACCAATGTTTTCTAATCTAGGCTCACTAATACCTGGTGAATTCACATCACTTAGTAAATGTGTTGACCATGTATAATGTACGTAAACAAAATCATGTGCGTCAATCGAATGATCACGTTTAGGTTTTCCTTTTATTTTAATTTTCCACTGATTCACTGGTGGTAATGCTAATTGATATTTTGGTTCAGTGTAATACGTTGTACGAAAAATAAATCTATTTATTGTTTGCGATAGTTGTTGAATGGCTCGATTAATCCAAAATTTGTTACCCTTAGATTTTAATTTTGATACTATGCGTTTTAAAGTGACTTGATCTTTAGCAAATTCATCTAAGTTAACGCCCACAGTTGACGTAGCTTCTACATAAACTATGGATCCTGGATCTTTCTTTCTAACTAAAGGTTTGCTCTCAAGCGGATCAGGTTTATCAACATTATCTACAACTTGAGGTTGTACAGCATTAACATCACCATGTGTCTGACGTAAGCGGCATATGCCGGGAGAACGAAAACAGTCCTCAAAAGCCAAAACCAATGGACCATACAATGTGCATATTAAGAAAACACTGTATAAAGTTCTCATCTAAAATTAGAAAAATACGATACATTGTAGACACTACAGTAGTTCACATGACATGTGGCTTTGAATCTAATAAGTATACGAATAAAATTCAGGGTCCTTCAAGAGTTTCACTTCGTTATAGAAGAAAATTTAAATCATTTTAAGAAGTGCTGCTAGTGGCTTTTTGAAATGAAAATCAAGATGTTTGTGTGTTAGGAAGCGTAGAAATTCTCATTCTCTGACTAATCAATAAAATATTGCCCGATAATATATTTTTATAGCTAGATATTCTCAAACGCATTTTTTTGCTTGGGATAAGGACAGTAGTGCTGGGTGTATGTCGAAGGTTAAGTTTAACAGCGATTGAAGAAAATTGGTTTTCCAGTGATCTTCTGGAAATCCTTCAAAGATCTTGGTAAGCCAAGTGATTATTGCATGCCTGAATGCTCCCAGATCTTCTCTTTCCAACTGCGAAAACTCGAACTCGCAAAGAAGGAAACCAGTTACGTATATAACGCTACGTAACATGTGTGCTATGATTTCTATTAACCTATTATTTAGAATGAAGAGCGACTCATTGTAAGTTATGAAAGAATCTAAACTTTTAACGAATGTTCACATGTATAGAATTGTTAAGATTAACTTGTGAGACATTACACCACCTAAAAAGTTTTCTTCAATCGCTGTTAAACTTAACCTTCGACATACACCCAGCACTACTGTCCTTATCTCAAGCAAAAAAATGCGTTTGAGAATATCTAGCTATAAAAATATATTATCGGGCAATATTTTATAGATAGTGCCCAATCCAACTATGCACTAGATATTGAACTACTATCCATTTCAAAAAAGAATGGACACGGTTTGCTTTTTGAATAACTCAGAAACATTACTAGCTAGCGAGTTCGAGTTTTCGCAGTTGGAAAGAGAAGATCTGGGAGCATTCAGGCATGCACTAATCACTTGGCTTACCAAGATCTTTGAGGGATTTCTAGAAGGTCTCTGGAAAACCACCTTCATGAGAATTAGAAAATTGGATTCTCCTGTGTGGCTATGATCTGCCATACTGTCTTCTACAAGACTACTCGAGGCCGAGCTCGCTGGCTTGTTTCGTTCAAGAGCTATAAGCCTTTTTCCGAGAGTCCCGATTTCGGTCAGTTGACCTGGGATTGTCCGAAAATGGGTCAAGATAAGGGTATTCGGCCACGCTGAGTCAAGTGGTAATGTTTAGTTTTAGCTTCAAATCGACCTAATTTCTAATTCTCATGAAGGTTGTTTTCCAGAGACCTTCTAGAAATCCCTCAAAGATCTTGGTAAGCCAAATGATTATTGCATGCCTGGATGCTCCCAGATCTTCTCTTTCCAACTGCGAAAACCCGAACTTCTGTATACAGACATCCTGCTTCCTGCAATATATTACAGAAAGGAGATAACTAATAGATAGTTTTTACTTGGGCTAGATAATTCATCAGTATATGAGTGAATATGCGGCAAAATTTCTATCACATAAAGACAATCCTTGTACAGATACCAGACAGAACCGAACAAATTTCACTTATGCAGAAAAACTGCGAAAGTAAACTTTGACGTTCTGTCATATATCATGTACAACGATTGAAGTTGTGCAATAGTTTAACGGTCAGTATCACCCTTAACGAGTAGTATACAACTGACCTCTATTTATACGAAGATAGTACCTCTATTATTTTACGCCCATAGTGATGCAGCACTATGCAGGACATAGTAGCACTTTGCAGCACTATGAGTGTAAAATAAGTACAAATCCTCGTATAAATAGAGGTCAGTTGTATACTACTCGTTAAGGGTGATACTGACCGTTAATCTATTGCACAACTTCAATCGTTGTACATGATATATGACAGAACGTCAAAGTTTACTTTCGCAGTTTTTCTGCATAAGTGAAATTTGTTCGATTCTGTCTAGTATCTGTACAAGGATTGTCTTTATGTGATAGAAATTTTGCTGCATATTCACTCATACATTGATGAATTACAAAAAGCAACATTTCCCAAAATATTGGTCTATTATTGCTCAATATATTGACTTGATATGAATAAATACTTTGTAACTTTGTGAAGTATATGCTTTACATATATAGTACAGTGACTGCAAAACAAAAAGGTGAGTAATCCGACCGTCGATATATCTAGTAACATATTGGGCTAGCTAGCTATATCTAGTAATGTATCGTGTTCACTAGCTATATCGCCCGATAGTAATAACCCAATTCGAATTGCGAGCTAGCTATATCGGGTAGTATATTGAGTTAGCTAGCTAGATCGTCCGATATTCGATATTTTTTTTCTGCTTGGGCTATTCTTCTCTGAAACGAGCAGTTCCGTATTTCTCTTTGTCTTAATTTGAAAAGTAAACATACATACCATACTAAATCAAAAGTACATTGAGAACCTCAAAACTGACGCACACAAGGGTATTTTCCTTAATATCTTCGTTAATATACTGAATTAGCGTGTACATACAAATAAACAGTATTATGTAGTTTCATAGATATGTTTTCAATGGAAATTTACTGAAGCATAACGCATGATTATTTGTAAATTGGATTATACGATGTCCTTGTGCATAGTCATGATCCTCTTTCTAATAGCATGAGAGTTGGGTTTTGTAAAAGTTTTCTAAGGTGTTTTCTAGAGATCCGGTCTCTGGGAAACCCTTCAGAAAACTTTCTCAATATTGGAAAACGGTGCCACTGGAAACAGCATTGTCGAAAACCTATAAGAAACCTGTTTCAAGCCGTTCAGGTTACTTTATCTTGAAATTCAAATTTTCAGCACGAAATTGTTAAGACTTATGCTTTTCATCATTCCAAGACCTGAAGCTGTGCTTTCATAAGCAAAATCGAATTTGAAAAGAATTTCAAAGACCGGTTTTTTAGGAGATCTGTGGAAAACCAGTTCAGTTCTCTGAAAGTTGGCATAGAAATCCATGAATTGTTTTACATGGATATATAAGTCGAAGTGTTCTCTACAAAACTGGATCCAAGCGGTATCTTAGAAATCCATGGTTCGGGAGCCATGGGGAATTTCTTTTGTTACTAGAAAGCGTCCTCGAGTGTTCTCTATCGACTGCTAAAAACCACCGGGCTCTAGTTCTTTTCGTTCCTGAGATATTCAAAAAACGTCGGCGAACATTATATTGTAATAGAGATAGTACATAGGAGGAAAATACTTTACAACGAAGTGTATCGACTATACGTTTTCCACAGATCTTTTGAAAAACCGGTCTTTGAAATTCTTTTCAAATTCGTTTTTGCTTATGAAAACATAGCTTCAGGCCTTGGCTAGCCAATGATGAAAACCGCAAGTCTCTAGCTTTAATTCGTTCTTAGTTATTCAAAAAATAACCACCGGCCTTGTATTTTGGAACGGATAGTAGTCTATAGCGAAAGTTATTTTTAATACAAGTGTTTTTGCAGCACAAATTGCTGAAACAGCTGACTGAATGACACATTATTCGATTCAGTTTCTAATGCTAATCACGAATATGGGCTTGGTTTCGCTTTAAAATACTATCTTCAAGCCAAAAATGAAAAATACTGTTCTAAAAATTTAATGATTTCTACGTGATACCTACTGTCCGGGGCACTAGGGGCTTTCAGTGAGCTTAACGTTGCCCACCCAAATTTTTCATCTATTGATAAATCAAGGTTGGAACTACTTATGTACCAAATATTTCCCAAATTCGTCTTATGACATGGGAGAAAATCGATTTTGAAAACTGACATTTTCAGCCAAAGTCGCTACTTTCGACGCCGTTTTTATTTGAGCTCATGCAACCACGTAGACTCCACTCGCTACCACAACCGCTCACCGTCACCACTACTCACTGCCACCTCCACATACTACCATCACCACACACTGTTCACATTTACCACGCATTATCGTATGTCAAATGCCTACGCAACGCACACAAAAAATGCTCTATTTCCACCTCGAAAAAGCTAAAACCGTCTTCTTTTCGATGATTTTTACCCAAAAACTGAGTAAACGCCCGTGCTGATGCAATTATACAAGTTGAGAAGGTGCTAGAGTATCCTGGACCACTATACTGACAACTTCACTGATCACCTTACGCAACTCACCGGGATCCACCACAAAATCTTTCAAAAAAAATTTTCTGAAAAAACTTTTATTTCGACAAAAACTTCGCCTAAAGAAATGCGCCATTTCCGCCTCTACCCTCATACGTCCAATATGTTTCGTTTCCACGCAGAACAAAAAACGTCTTTTTTCGATGATTTTACCCAGAAAGTTATTTGGTGTTTTCGAGCTCTCTGAAGTGCAAAATCCTGGAAAAAATTTTCGAAGCACCAACGCATCTGCTTCAGAAGACGAAAAAGCAACATTTCTAAGTTATCCGAGAACTAGGACAATTCTCTTTTGCAGTTGTCACCGCCGGAGGCTATTATTAGCTATAGCGGTTTCTTGAAGGTTCATCATTTAGTCCAATAAAATTGTTGCACACTTTACCATACACATCCATTTTCTGTTCTCATCGCTCCTGTCCAAATTTTTCTATTCTTAGGTACCCGAATTTCCATTGGTTCTCTCTCTCTTTTCCATTTCTTTGGTTCTTTTTAACATGTCCTTTCTGGCTATATAAATAAGCTGCACGTTTTTATTATATTTTGTACATACGTATACTGAAGAAGAAATTCGAAATGCATCTATATGTGTAACATTTTTTTGCACTCATCGTCATTTTTCTGTCATCCCCTCTTTACTTATATTTTTATATAAAATAAAGAGCTTTGTGCCAGAAACGAAAAAGATTCTTTTATCTGGCATTTTTTCTTGAACATCAACACTTGCTTTGATACAAAAAACCAATTGTAAGTTTTAGGAAATTTTCTCCTCTTACTAGTACTGAAAACCGCAGGTGTCTGTTGCCTTTGTATACAAAGTTATGACGAAAAGAAATCACTGCTTTGTATTCGTAAGCCTGCAATAAAAGGGGGCAAACTTGACATAAGCTTTATTCTGTCAGAATACAAGCGGAAGAATATTCCATTATAGTATTCTAAACTAAAACTATCGAAAAACACAAATAGAGATTCGAACATGTGAAATTAGCTTTGTAGTAAACTACAAAACTAAATTCACCGTTCTGTATCTATATTCTGTACAACGATTGAAGTTGTGCAATCGACTCGATGTTATCAGTAGTCATTTTTTTGGTATGTTTTTTGTGTTTTGTTTGATATAAGCTTTATTCTGATAGAATAAAAGCAGAAGAACTTCTTTCTGGATTTTCTCATCTAAACGAGGCCTCGTAGTCGGGAAATTTTTATCCCACACACAGAAAATGACGGAGAACAAGATAGCCGTCTCAGATTTTTTATATGAGCACTTTCATTTTTTGGGGGAATTGTACAGCTAAATTGCAATTCACTCATATAATATGCAGAACGGAAAAGTGAAAAAACTTAAGTTTTAAACGTTCAGAAGCATTTTTATGCAAAACCAATGTGATATTCGGAATCTACCAAAACAACTGCATCGAATGATATATAATTCGACGCGTTTTGAAGAAAAACGTTTTCGTCCTAAATTTTAGGCAAAACACCTGAGGGGACCTCAGGCAAAAATGTGGACGGGAACTTTTTGTCGTCCTTCAAGACGAAACTTAGATGAAAAAGGTTTCTCGACATGCTGAATCCGAATATCGCATTCTCGCTGCTTGAATCAATGCGTAGAACAAGTAGGTAGTTTTCATATGTCAGTGGCGTCATCTTCGAAAGTCTCAGTAGTTGTGCTTGGCCAAAGAAAGAAACATGGGGAAATGGAATATCATTCAAGCCTGGGTAAGTCTAAAGCTTTCATCCAATGAATTTCAGTCCTATTTTTTAATATATGAATGATTTAGTGACATTAAAGCCAATGTACTTATTCGTCAGTCCACGTATCATGCTAATTCTAATGAAATTTTATTTGCTTGAAATGGCATGTTTCAGACATAGCTCATTGGGCTGAAAGATTTCAGGCGAGAAGGGACCATCAAGCGAATAATAATAATCTGTTTGTTCACCAGTTGATAAGCGATGTATTCCTGCCGGGTAACAACCAGATTTTGTACGTTCAGCATATGCTTCAAATATAAAGTCACCATTTTTCCATTGGTTACATAAACCTATGTGACTTTTGCATTTCACATCTTTAGCTACGAAATCTTCACTTTCATTATATTTATTACCAAAACACCAATCATTAAAATAATCTAATCCCAACACGTAACATATTTTATCATGAATATTATAATAATATTGTAATCCCGAAGTAAAGTTCATCCACATATCAAATTTACCATTTTGTGCTTTATTTGATTCTCCATCGCCAGCGATTAGTGATACTCTCATCTGTTGTGATGGCTTATCGTAATAGATTACACCAGAGCTATAAAACTTTATTTGGGGTATATGATGTACAAAAAATGTGAGAAAACTTTGTGGTGCACAACAATCATGTAAATTTTTTTCTTTTGGAATATTCGGTTTCTTATTTTCATTAAGAATTCTTTGCTCAGCTTGTTTCACAATTTTTTCATTTTCTTTAATCGGTTTTGATGTTAATTCTATATCAGAACATTGATGAAATGTTGTACCATGATCATTTTCAGCTGGATTATTTGTTACATATCTAACACGTAGAACACATTGTTTACATGTTACTTTTGGTAATCGTATATCCATTGAAAAATTTGTTTGTGTTATTTGATTCATTGGATTGTAATCATTGATCGATTTTAATATTCGAAAATCATTTTCCACAGGATTGAGACCAACAGCAAAGGATATATCCAATTTTCCCGGATTATTTGTGTAATAATGATTTAAGTTTTGTTGAAATTCAACTGTATATGCTTTACCAGCTTGTATTTTCGTACGTTTACCATTTTTTGATCCACTAATACCTCCACATGGCTTTGGTTTACGATAACATGCATCGGAATCAGGACCATCAATATTAAAAGCGCCGCGCTGTCTTGGTTGCCACACGCAGATATGCCCAACGGTCAACGAGACAATTGAAATTAGGATTAGAGACAGTTTGAACATTGTTTCTATGCATAAAAGTGGTTGAAAATATTACATAAGCATCATGTTTATAAAACGATAAGAAATGAGAAAAATTGTGAAATCAATGAAGCTTGAAGAAACATAGAAGCGTGTGTGTCATTATCCTCTGGAGGTAAAGCAAATAAATATGAACTATTCTGAATAGTTGTTATAGTTGTTACATAAACTGTCCATCTTTCTAAAAAAGTTTTATGTACTCATTTTAAACTGTCAGCACCACTATTAACCATGAAACTTAAGCCGGCTGTTTGGATTTTGAATAAAGTTTCATAGAAAAGAGATGAAGAAGCACATTTTCAATAAACGGTCAGGACAAACAGCGCTATAATTTCGCTCGTTCTGCTACCAGTATAATAGTCTGCTAGTACACTACCGGTGCGCTGCGACGGCTAATTTGATTAGTTAAATGTCAATAGTTAAGATGCACGTAAAGCAAACTTCGAGTGAAATTTTTCACTGTTTACGTCTCATTTTCATTAAAAGTGTTAGATTATTAAATAAAGTTAAAACTGAAAGTATGCTGTTTTTTTAATCGAATTGTGATAGAATTTGTGTGAGGTAAGATACTAAACAAACAGTATTTTTAACCTAACTTGATACCCCTTATATGATGAATTTCGTCGTTTTTGAATAACAACAGAGAAAAATCGCTCGCAAACGAAACAAGAATTGTTTACGATCGATACAGCCTGACAAACCAGAGATGAGAGAATGGCTATCTTTAGCGCCATCGCGGGGATCGCTTAGAAGACTTCCGGCCTAGTCATTGCTTTAGATCTAGCCAAGTTTCGATAAATAGAGTTCGTAAGCTTTCTGCTCCGTAGCCGCCTCGTCCACCGTCAACCCTTGATAAAAGCATAAAAAGAGATGAAAATAAACATAACATCTTTTGTTCACAAGAAAAATTATCTTGAAAAATCGCTAAATCTTTGAAAGATTTATGAGTTTCCGAC